AACATCAACTTATCACGAAAGACATTTGCGACTTCTTGGGATTAATCTCCCTTGTCTGAAACCATATTATCTACTATTCGTACGGTGAAAATTTTTTATTCACAAGTTTACCAAAAATGGAGAAAGCCGAAATAAGCCAATCATTCTGCTATGTAAATTGCCCTTTATATATTATTTTAAAAATATACGGATAAGTATTAGTTTTAAAGATAAGTTTATTAAATAAGACAACGATTCTATTATGAAATATTATATAAAATATTAAATATATTAAATATTCCGCAATATTATTTATAATTTCTGCTGTTATTCCAACATAACTGATAGCTTTAGCAATTGGAAGTTCATTAAATAACAACAAAAAGCTCTTCATGCATAACGTCAAGCATTACAAAAGTTCTACAGAAAATTTTATTTAAATCTATTTCTTTACCACTTGACTCCAATTCCGGTTTTTATAATTCTACTTATTTTACTTCTGAATATAATAATTTATAAATAAATGAGAAAAGTCTAAGGCTTTAAGATTTCCTGCATACATAAGCAGTCTGTCAACTGATATTCAGCCTAAGATCTACTGAAAGAAATTAATGAAGAGAATTTTAATGAAGTCCGGTGAATTCTGAAAATTATTAGGAATGATAAAATTATTACTGAAGAAGTAGAGAGGAGATATCACACCATTCAATGACTTCTCAGGACTGTTAAGAGCGCAAAAGAAAAAAAAAATTGCAGACCGTGTTCTAATACGGCAATATAACTTTAAACAATGGAGGGTTTTAATAAGAGAAATCTAAGAAGGGCAAGGATAACTTGGTTTTAAGTAGCTAAAAGAAAAGCAAGTGATAGGAAAAGCTGGCGATTTATGGTGATCAACCTTCGTAGCATGATGAAGAAACAAATCAGCAACTTGTCGATATTATTTATTATAATTATATATCTTAATATACAAATATTTATAATCTACAAATATGTTATGAATTATTTACATTTTTAAAGTAATTATTTATCCGTTGCTATATTTAATTTCAAATGACAAATTTATATTGAGAATCATTTTTCCCCAATAAGGACTTTAATATATTTTGATAAAATTTTTTTATTAAACGAAAAACAAGTAACACCAAAAATCTCCTTACGTAATTTTGACAAAAAGGTGCAAACAGCAATCACGTGATATGCATCCAATGGTGAATCAACCGAACCACACATGCAAATGTTCCTTCTAGAAAATGAAAAATAATCAATTTAATCTCGATTCACAAAACGGATAATCTCCCCGGATTTTTTGTGAATGATTTCAGTTTATTGATTAAATCGAATAGCAACGAATATCCAGTTTTATTCTCTGATTGCTATTCTGTCAAGCAATCAGAGTCAGTTTCTGGAAATCAAAAAACTACCACAAAATGGGTGTCGCCTTGACGTGGCTTTGTGGCTTAATGTGTGAAAATCTTATCGAAGTTTTGCAGATAATATTTTCCACAGACTAAGAACACCCGACAGAAATTTCAAAAGTATTTTAAATAACTGTTGTTCTTAAAAATCATACCAAAACAACTAAACGTGTTTAATATACCGTAAAACATAGGGAAAGTATGGCGATCGATGAAAAAAATGACCTCCGCCCGACATGTTTTCATTTTTGGACTCAGGACACCTTCTAACGTCAATACATGCAGAAAATTCGAAAGTAATTTCTGTATGTATGGATATTAGTATCTGTGTATATGTGTGTGGGGGGAATGGTTTTGTTCACAGTGTTTGAACCTTAATAACTCCTGTGCTTTTTGTCGAAAATTTCTGAAATTTTGCACGTTGGTTCGCTTATTAGACGGACTGATGCGATTAAATTTTAGTGGTTACAGGTCGAGGGGTAAGGAGATAATAGGAGTCGTGTGTACCTCCGAGAAGGTAGGACTTTTTTTTATTTGTGATTTTAGGTCGGACTTAATGACGATTTACTCATTATTATCGTTTATAATTGTTTTTATAAAACTCACCCCTACCCTAAACACTAAGCTTTTTGTCGTTTTATAATAGTTAAAAATATAAAAAAGTTTTTAAAAATAAAATATGATAACAGATGACGCCACCAAAATTTTAATTGTTGACGGGAAAGTTGAGAAACTCGTTACTGCTTTATTAATTCATTTGATTACATAATATCGATGAAAACAGAATGCTTCGATAAAACATTGTAAATAGTTTAATTTATCACAGAAATAAAACATGAAAAAATAGAAAATTTTTAAATAAAATATTATACGAATTTTATTTATTTCTATATAATTACATATAACTATTTTCTTAATCATTTCTTTACATTAACCTGCAATAATTCTCCACGCATACAATATACTCAAAATACAATCCTCGGAAATAGCCAACAATACAGTTATTAGTTGCCAAAAGCACATTAACAACACGATTATATCGACAAAAATTATTTAATAAGGATATCCGCTGCGTGCAATTATTGAGCAAAATAACTGGAGAATATGAATCAACCAAGTTAATCATTTATATAAACATAAATAAATTTATATTTCGTTCATTATATTTTCGTTTATCATATAAATTCTGCTATTAATATACGTTATTTATTTTCAAAACATATATAAGAACAATAAATAACATAATATTATATTTAGATCTCATACCGAAATCGATTAACTCACTCGCTCTTATATAATTTTAATTATCTGCGTTAAAAATTAAACGAAAGCAAAAATATGCAACGTTATGAAACGTTAAACAAATTCATTTGGAACTTTGACAATGAAATTAATCGTGACAAGACTTTGATCTAATATTATTATTGTAATTTTATATAAACTTCAATACAGATAATAACGTTAAAACATTATCATAAAACTCAGAGCATTAAATCTCTCGATTTATCTGTAGATAAGTTGTTGATGAACTCGATTAATTTTTAAACATTTTCTTAAAAAATTCTCATTTAACTAGAAATATTATTATATAAATTCTTATTAACAATATTGGATTATATCAGTTATTTCGTCTTTCATTATCACAGTTTCAGAAACCATTAGCATAAATTTTCTTTGTTTTCATAGCAGTGTTAACAGAGCCTTTATTGCATTTCACCTAAACACAGCGAATTATGACTCCATATAATTTTCCTCTTTACAGGTAATGATTAGCTACAATCTGTACGAAGGATATTATTAATTTACCGAAATTAATCAATTTTTTTCAAGGCAGACAAAACTAAAATTCCTTTGCATTTGGTAGTATCGTCTTCTCCGATGTCCTTGTTAAAGTACCAGTGTTTTATATCGAGATTGGCTTCNGGCTTGGCCGAACCCATAATGGGCCTGCTATAAGAGGCTTTCTTAGTGCCCACAGGGCGGAAAGAGTAAAAAAAAAGTACTACTAAGCTTATTTACGGGGGTGCAATTCAGCCACCACTCCTCTATGCCGTTCAGGTCTGGGGCCACGTAGCTGCCAAAGTCCGTAACCGTAAAAAACTATTATCTGTTCGAAAGATTGCAGCTCTCCGCATTTGTCAGGCTTATAGGACCGCACCCACTAGTGCCCTTTAGGTAATGTCAGGATTGACCTTCATCGACTTAGAAATTAAACGCATTATTTGGCAGAAAAATCTTGTCATTTTACCTTGACGAGATTATAGCGACTCAGATGTCGACAATATGATTAGAGTAGGTAAGATTTCCCCTTTCCCAGTTTGACCTTTACCGATGATATCAAAAAATTCAGCATCGACAAAAATACCCTTTCGATTACCATCTCTCCCATCAGCTTGCCCCTGACGTTTACTTCGAAGATCCAGATGATTATCCCATTTACAGTGACGGTTCCAAGATGGGTGACGATGTGGATGCCGCTTTTGTAGTTTACTCCGACACAGGCCGCGAGCTTCACAACGCATGCTTCTGTCTTGGTTCACACTGCTCAATAGCACAGGCGGAAACTTTATTTATATGAACTTACTTCATATTAGGCATAGGAAAGACAAAAGACACTACTCACACTATCGCATTTATTCTGACAGTAGGGTAGCTTTACACAGGATTGCGCAGTCTGAGCCGTTTAAAACTCGTCCATCTCATATACTACATTCTCAGACTTTGACAACAACATTAGAATAGATTTCCAATGGGTCCCGGGTCATGCGGGGGTTCTCGGCAACGAGACCGCTGACTGTCTTCGTCTTGCCAAACAAGCTGCAAAGTCTTCAGTCACTAGTATTTTCAGTCAGTTACGTTCCTACCGCGTACATCGACAATCACGTCAAGAAGCAAATCTTCATTCTCTGGCAAGACAGCTGGGACCGTGACATTACTGGTAGGCTCACCTACACTTTCATCCCCAAGGTTGACACTACTGCGACTCTTCGCCACTTTTACTATAGTTATACCCTCACTCAGCTATTTACAGGACACGGCAACTTTAAGCAATACTTGCATAGATTTAACCTTGGGGACAATCCACAATGCGATTGTGGTATTCAGGAGGACCAAACACTACTTCACTTAGTTTTTCGCTGCAATAGGTACAATCACATTAATATTCTATCGACAATTATTCAATTTTGATCGCTTATAAATAAAAAACGTTTCATTGCCTGCGTTATTCGGGTTTATGTAATTAAACATTTACGAAAAATCTCGAAATGAAGGGAAAAATAACTCGCAATTTCCAGAAAATTTTCTATTTCAAGATGGCGTCGGCAATACGAAATCGAACGAATTCGAATCGGTGAAACGTGCGATAAATGCGTCACGCGTTACGTCATAAGTTCTACGTCATAATATTAACTAATTGCGAATATTTTCTTTAAAATGCTAAAATAGTCCTCTTTATTTGTAAAATATATTTGTAATAATAAATAACATTATAAAAACGCATTACGTAACCTTACAGGTTACAAGCCGCAAATCTAGGTTTAGAGCGTATCTAATTTAAATTATTTAATTTTGATATAAATCGAAAAATATTAAGTTACCTACGTTACGAGAGTTTTCATCATTAAAATTTGTACGAAAAATGTTAAAATCGAGGAAAAAAAAAACTCGCAATTTCAGGAAAGCATAAATTTCCAAGATGGCGTCGGCAACAATACAAAGTGGAACGAATTCGAATTTGTCGTTGCAATGCGTCACGCGTTACGTCACGAGTTTTACGTCATAGATGTAATATTTCGAGTATTTTAATTGCATTTTTTAAAGGAAAGTTTATTTTTAACAAATTCTTTTCTCTCGGATTTGGCAGAATATTTGTTAAATGTAAAACTTCGCTAAAAAGAAAATTTACTCGAATTACATTACGAGTGGTTGGAGTTTGATTGGAAACAATTGCTTCCACCATTGTAAGATCAGGAATTTTCAACATATTTCATACAACTGAAAATTTTCATTTATATTGCCACAATATTTTCTTAACTGTGAAAGAATGGTTAGCTGCACTTCCTTCTTGCGGATTGATTGTGTAATTTACATAATAAACAACAACCCAGCACATTTCTATTACCAAATGATCTGTCAGATTATCTATTGGGCTATGTTGAGCCTAATAACTAATTGCATAACAAATCAATTTGGCTAGAGGTAGGTGCTTTAGCTGCTCTCCTAATAAATTTAAAAATTAGAATTAAATTAATTTTAAATTTAGAATATTCCGAAAAAAAATAATTGTCCAGAATGGGTCTGAAATCCACAACTCTTGATTTATTTATTAAAATATTGTTTTCTAATCCTCGGTGTTCTAAGTAAAATGTCACGTCCGAGGGAAACCCACCCTTCGCCGGCCGTTTTCGGTTTTAACGACACTCTAGTTAATTAGGTTGGAAATCAATAATTTTGAGTTATATTTTCTTTGTCTGGGATGTTTTTATAATTTTTATACAATTAATAGGTTTTATATTTTATATTTAATAATAATTTAAAAGTCTATAGGCCTATATAAAAGCTAGCAGATTAGCCCAGAGTAGGTCAATTAAAACATCAACAGCAAACATTAACAATCAAGTCGTACCAGTCATCTAATACGTTACGGGAGAAATTTTTTAATTGAAATAATAAATTCTACTTTGCATCGGAAGTTCTTATATAGTTAATCGGGGACTCCTGTCCCAATGATTTCCATATCTAATCTCGTCTTTCTTGTATCTAACTTCGTTCTCGAGATTAAGGAATGTCGTAAAAACGGAAAATAGTTGTAATTTATAGATTTACATGTTTTTAAATTGCAGGCCAAAGAATGTACAGTACTTTGATAATAGCTATTTTAAGAAAATTATCAGAATGCCTATGAACTACAGAGTACGTGAGAATAATATCCTGGTAAATAGCGAGTTTTTAAAAAAAAAGAATTATTAGAATTAAGAAAGTATTATTCGGAAATGAAAATACCCTAGTTGTTAGATGTAAAAAATCAAATACTTGTATAGTTTCAGTGTAGCACTTTCGACTGGGATACACTTGAGTGCTACCCGTCGCAGTAATGATGTTGCTCGCCTATTTGACACTATATCATTGTCGTAGTAATTAAGTCAGTATAATATTTGTTTTCTTTTTAATTATAAATTTCTTATATTAATTATACAAAAAGCTAGAATATACAATATAGAGTGGCTGAAGCGACACCATGTTTGAAGAAAATTGAATACATGTCCGCCATTTTCCTTTTCGTCTAGTGAGCGTGGCATTTGTTGGTTGTGTAGGCAACAAGTTAGAATATTCCAATTCGTCGATAGTACCTGTCGTTGCCACCATAAGGGCTGTAACAACCACTCTGTGTAGTATATTCTAGCTCGTTGGTATTATATTTAATTTATTTTTTAATTTTTATCCAAAAGGTGGCGCTACACGTAAAGGTAGTAAACAGAAATTAATTGACAGAAATTCATTCACTAATTTGGGGTGGTATTACAAACATTATCTAAGTTAGAAGTATGTTGATCTAACTGCCGAGTTTGATAACAATTGATGGAACGGCTTAAGAGTGCATAGCCAACAAACATCCTCATTTATAAATGTATATAAAATTTCATTTATATAAAGATATAACATTGTCATTTATATACATATATAAATGAAGATATTTTTATTTTGTCAACCATAAAATTATTATGATAAAAATGAAGACGCTGCTGATATTTCTGATCAATAAAAGAGCTCAGATGACAATACTTCGTAAAAGAAAACGCTCTCGTTTAACTGAAATTAATATTAACGCGTAATACAGTACTTTTACTTGTGATTGCTAGTTAATTATTGATTTAATAAACATATGTCTTAGTAACGAAAAAGAATAGTATACTTTTATTAACTTTTGGAATTTAATTCTGTTTTGCACTGTCCTTTGTTTCGTATAGCACGAATTTGTATAACACGATACTTTTTCGGAACCTAACTACTGAACAGTATAATACCGTGGTTCTCAATCTTTTTGAAGTCGAGGAACACTAAACTTTGACATTTTCTTTCGCGCAACGCTTAAAATACATCAGCTTTAAAGCAGAAGTAGCAAACCTTTTTGAAATCAAGAGCGCTCTCGGCCTAGTATATGATGACATATTGGCATTTGCTGATTACATTCCCATACAAAAATTATTTTACATTGTATTGATTTTTCTTTTGCAACAATTTTTTATTGTATATTTGATTTATTCACGGACCATGGATAGAGAACCACAGCTGTAATATTTTGAAATGTAGTTCCCTAGTCTTTGCAGAGGGTCGTAGTCTAGTCAGCCTCATGAAAATGCATCCCTCATCGAAAGGGAAGTTATTGCAAACAATAAACAATGATAATTATATAATTGACAGAAATCAATGCCTTATTTTCATACAATGCTATATTTATTTTGTTTCATCATTTTCATTAGGTACATTTGCAGATATCGTCAATGCNTATATAAATGAAGATATTTTTATTTTGTCAACCATAAAATTATTATGATAAAAATGAAGACGCTGCTGATATTTCTGATCAATAAAAGAGCTCAGATGACAATACTTCGTAAAAGAAAACGCTCTCGTTTAACTGAAATTAATATTAACGCGTAATACAGTACTTTTACTTGTGATTGCTAGTTAATTATTGATTTAATAAACATATGTCTTAGTAACGAAAAAGAATAGTATACTTTTATTAACTTTTGGAATTTAATTCTGTTTTGCACTGTCCTTTGTTTCGTATAGCACGAATTTGTATAACACGATACTTTTTCGGAACCTAACTACTGAACAGTATAATACCGTGGTTCTCAATCTTTTTGAAGTCGAGGAACACTAAACTTTGACATTTTCTTTCGCGCAACGCTTAAAATACATCAGCTTTAAAGCAGAAGTAGCAAACCTTTTTGAAATCAAGAGCGCTCTCGGCCTAGTATATGATGACATATTGGCATTTGCTGATTACATTCCCATACAAAAATTATTTTACATTGTATTGATTTTTCTTTTGCAACAATTTTTTATTGTATATTTGATTTATTCACGGACCATGGATAGAGAACCACAGCTGTAATATTTTGAAATGTAGTTCCCTAGTCTTTGCAGAGGGTCGTAGTCTAGTCAGCCTCATGAAAATGCATCCCTCATCGAAAGGGAAGTTATTGCAAACAATAAACAATGATAATTATATAATTGACAGAAATCAATGCCTTATTTTCATACAATGCTATATTTATTTTGTTTCATCATTTTCATTAGGTACATTTGCAGATATCGTCAATGCAGCGTGAAAAATATTTTCCTTTTTCACGACATTCTCTATCACATTTCCAAGGATCGCAGTAGCGTCTATGGGCATCCACTGTCATTTCGGAAACGAAAGCTTTAAAAAATTAGAATATAGTAATTTAATAATTTCGAACGATTAATAATTCACTATTTTGATACGTTAAATTATTTCATGCAGAAATCGACGTGGATAAGATCATCCCGTTTTACAATTAATTCGATGTAAAACGAGTCGATCTATATCACACATTTCCTAAAATAAGGCTTTATTATATAATACTACACATAGAAAAAGAAAAAGGCATTTAAATACACGTTTTAGTTTTAATTCTAATTCTTTCCATTAACTTATATCTCTACCACGTTTTAAATAATTGAATCATCTTACTATTAATCACAGTCATTACAAGTAGAATTAGAAAAATTCTAGTGGAGATCATGGCAATTCGATTTCTGGTTAACTATAATAAAATAAATACTGTATATTAAAATGTAAATATATGTAAAATTAAACAGCATATACAGAAACGCACAGAGAAACACAAACAAATCTACACAAAACAACTCTAGACTATGTTCTGGTGGATCCAGGATCGAATCCATGATGGAAATGATTAAAAGTCCCTCTTAGTTCCATAAGACTTGAAGGGTCAAACATGAAAATAAAAATACACTGATAAACACGCACAGATCAACATATATCGGATCCCATCCAACCACTGGTTGTCCCATTGTAGGTGTGCCCGTGTGAGCACTAAGATGGCCTTTTTAGCAAACCCATTATGGGCTTATTAAAAGGCCACGTTAGGGCCCACGGGGAACTGTGTATTCTGTACTACTGTAATTATATAAAGTATATACTTTGAAAAATTATTTCATTATATAAATGTAAAGGCATAATACAAATGCAACTTACAGTACTTACAGTTACCGATTGTTGTACGAGTTGTTGTGATCAGTTTCAGGCTTCTATATAAATGAATTTACAGCAATAAAATTGTCAAATCAGCCAATTAAATATAAAATGAGTATCTGGATAGCAAATGTCTGGTTTACTAACATTAGAAATTATTAGACTTGTAAGAAAATTATTGTGGAAGAATCATAAAAGGATTTGTTCTGTAATTGTTCCCATTATTTTAATATACAATAATGGGAATATGAATTAAAAATACATAAAATGCCATCAACATTGAATGATTATTTTAAACTGGTATTTTAAATGTATAATTTACTTAATTCATTTTGATTCCTTCTGCCCTTATTCTTTCTTTCTGCCTATTATAAGAGGGCTCTATTTTACTATACCCATCATACTATTGTATAGATCAAGGGTCACCAAACTATGGCCCG